TTTTTTTTTTTTTTTTTGAGAATGTGTAATTGAAAAGTCGTTACCTATTTATGAAAAATCAATGTTTTTATATGTACTAGTCACGGCTAAACATATACTGCACGTTATTTTGAAATACTTTATAAATAGTGTAAAATGATATTTGAATATCAGTGAATATAAAAAATAATTAAAAAAATTGTTTATGTGAAATGAACTTTTTATACAATTCAATTATTTATTTACGTGTATGATAATAATTAACATTAATTTATATATATCCTACTATAATTCAATCAATTAATTCTTCAACTTCATGCATGTACACTTTATATATTTTGAGGGTCGTTCAATTACTCTAGAAATACTACAATTTAATTATTTGTGTATGTACATGTATACTAATTAACATTTATTTACGGATATATTAAATATAACATTGAGTATAATCAAGTTCTTGTACACATTTTTTAGGAGCTATTCAATTATTCTAGGAGTAAACAAATTATTCAAGTTGAACACGTATTTATTTTCAAGATTATTCATTTTATCATAAATAATTCTAGGAGTATATAAATTATTAAAGATTATATAATTTAAGAGCTATTCAATTATTATAGGAGTAGATAAAATATTCAAATTCATGTATATTTATTTAATTTCAATATTGTCCGACACTCCATCCAATGGGAGGGAGTCGGGTGTCCATTATGGACACCCTTATATACACCCTTGTGTACTTCTAGCATTTTTCTAAATAAATTTATAAGTTCGATCAATTTATAATTTTTTATCGAACTTAGACATTTTTAATACCTTTTTTTTTAGTAACGTCATTTGTCTAAATGTATATAAATTATTCTTTTTCTATATTCATTGATTCAAATTTATTAAATTTCATGTTGATTCATGTACACCCCATTTGTTTAAATATATATAAATTATTATTTTATTCATTTATTAAAATTAATTAAATTTCATGTTGGTTCATGTAACCCCCATTTGTTTAAATATATATAAATTATTATTTTTTTATATCTATTAATTCAAATTAATTAAATTTCATGTTTGTTCACTTACACCATATTTGTTTAAATGTATATACATTATTCTTTTTCCGTATTCATTGATTCAAATTAATTATAATTCTATGTTCATGAATCAATTTGATTGTTCTTGTACAATTTAATTATTTATTTACGTGCATGTTTAATAATTAATATTCAATTAAATATATAATGAAAAAAAGAAAAGTAAGGTACTATTGAAATAATTAAATTGTAATAAGGTTAAAATCGTTCAGAAAATAAATTTCAGTTGATGTAATATTTAGGAGGTGTCTGGGCGCACTTAAAATGGAAAAAAATACCGTTGATAATGAGAAAAATGGACCGTTGCTTTTCACCAACTTTGCAGGAACTCTGACATGACGACCCACTTTTGGATATTTTATGGCAAAATGACATTTTTGCCATTAACATTTAAATCATTTTGCATGATACACGGGCATTTTCGACATTTCATTTTTAGCAAGTCAAATTTTGCTGGCTAGGACGGATCCATCTTGCAGTGAGCAACAGTCCATTAATTGATTGGCATTGGACAAAAATCGCGTCCAGACAAAGTCTTATTATATTATAGATTACTTTAAACTTTTAAATGATGTAGGAAACAAAATACATATATGATCGCAATATTTTTCAGTTAGGGTTTATCCCCTTGTACCGAAAAGGGGGGTACCGAATTTTGTATCCCCCTCACAAAAAACGTGGCCCCCACGTGTATTAAAAAAGTCGGCACGTGGTCCCCACCTTTTGGTGTGAGTGGGGAGTAAAAGATTAGGTTAAATATGATGTACATGTAACATAATCATAATTTTAAATACATTCATCACAACTCCTTGTACCGAACAGGGGGTACTGAATTTTGTACACCCCTCACAACAAACGTGGCCCCTACGGGTATTAAAAAAGTCGGCTCGTGGTCCCCATCTTTTGGTGTGAGTGAGATGTAAACGATTAGGTAAAATATGATGTATATGTAGCATAACCCTTTCAGTTATTCTCTAGTCTTTTGAAGCCTCCTTAAACTTGTGAACTAGTCTAGGAAGCAATCATGAGAATCTTGAAAATCCAAATCCTATCCCTCCCCCTACCTCACCTCACCTCACCCCACCTCCCAACCCCACTTCCAATTATGTAACAATAGTAAAGGGCCTTCTCTTGTCGAGGTTAAATAGACAACGAGAATGTCCAAACCTGAAACCCTATATATCTATGCAATAAAGAATCATGCAAAATCTTGGTGAAACATAATTACTCTTCTTAGACTAGGGAATGCTATAATTAATTTTCCCAATAAATATATTAAAAAAAGGATAAGTCGCATCATTGATTGCCCCCACCTGTCCTGTCATGTCCTAAGCATTAGTGAATAAGGTAAATTGCAGGTTATACTTCCAAGAGTACAGAGTGGAAGGTTGCTTATACATTTGCACTTACCGAAGGACCAAATTCATATTTCAGGATTCGAACCCTTGACGTGGCAACCTCAAGTAAAGTTGGACTTCCCCTTTTATCACTTGGAGATGTGCCTTGGGGCGACGTTAGACAATATTTTATGGGTAATGCTACATGTACATAACCATTCACATAATGGTTCACATAATTACACGTGGCATGTGATTCTGCTTTTAATTCAACTTTCACACTTATATATCAATAAGTGGATGATGGCCACGTCACCATTATGTAAACCATTATGTAGAGGGTTATGTATAACTAGATCAGACAATATTTTATATAAGAGACATAAGAGTTGCCAAAACTAGAAATATGTCCATCTATATGTATATAGAGTGGCCAAAATATGTCCCACTATATATCAGCTAGCATGTATATTCTGACCTACCAATTACTAGGTGGTTCCATGGAAATTTAATTAGCCATCAGACCTCGAATCGAACCAATTTCAAAGTGATGCTGAAGTTAGATTTTTATAAGTTATAAACCTCATAAAATATGTAATTAAAATTAAAGAAACTGATTAATTTTTCTTATTTAATGCTAATATTTTATCAAACAACCACTTAATAGTATGTTATGAAAAATAGAGTTGCATTATGGATATCTAGGATTAAATGTAAAACGTGATTAGGAAGAGTCGAGATAAAGACAGATTCCACCTTAGGAATAATACGCCTCGGTTTTGGTTTCATTTTCTTCTCCTAAAATTTTAATTTTCAAATTTAAATATTAATTTTAAATTTTTAACCAAATATTTTGTAGGATCCATAAATATTATCCATATATTAATAACTCATTTATTGAAAAGTAGAATTTTAACAATATAAAATGAAATCCAAACAAAGGCTATATATTTTTGTATACTGTGTAAATATGTAGTTTCTATAGTTTTTAACTATTTTAATAACTAATCAAATTGATATTTTTCTTATATTCATTTTATATAATCAATAATATTTTGTCTAAATTTTTTATATTAGGTTTGCTCATTTTTTATTTTAGGTTTTCATTTTATATATTCTTTTTGAAACATTAAAGTTATTGGCAACAAGAAACTAAAATAAATAAATTCAAAGTAGAATAATGTTATTAAAAAATGCAAATGTCGAATGCAAATACAAGTCGTGACTGATCTTAACTACATGATCAGTAACAGCAATGGTTTGATGCTTTCTCACCTTTGCTTTATTTCTACTTAATGAGCGAGTCAGCGTGTGCGTGTGCGTGTGAAAGAAAGCTCGAGAAAGAAAGGGGGGCCGGCAGTTCGAACGCGCATGACATGTCTAGTCATTCATTATATTATTGAGTCGCGAATAACTCGATGTACCAAATATGAGAGCAAGCATCAGTAAAATTAGCAGAATGTTTGCTGGATTTGCTGAGCTATTTCCTCCGCACTAAGTTGACATTCAATTCCAATCTACAAAGGGAGACAGAAATTCAATCATGAGCTTCAATTCAATATTAATTAACACTATTTTAAAATATATGTATATAAAACAAGAATGCATATATAAATTTGTGAAAAAATAATAATAGAACAAAGGGTAGAAAAAGAAAAAAAAAACATGCCCTAGTTTTCAGTGAAAATGTCTCTTTCCAAGAATACACATAAAATCATTTACACAGTTCGAGCGTGTCCAGAATATAACGCAACTTCTGGAAATGGATTTAGGCGACTTCTGGAACTTTTTAATCTTACCCATAAATCTCTTTACACTAAGAAATTATTGAACTCTTTTTCCACTCACAATTTTATTCAGAGGTACCACAAAATTTTCTCCACTTTTTACCTCATAATTGAGCTTTTAAACCAGGAGTTCAAGATGACTTGAATGTTCAAAGATCAAGAATTGCAGTCAAGTCTACCAACCATTTATGAAAATTGGCATGTATGTACTTTTTATGGAAAAAGTGAATTCAACCGTGAAAGCTTTGTGAAAAAATAAAATAAATTGTCATTTAACTCTATAATATTTACAGACGTTAAAATTTGATTCGTTGGACAAAAAAAAAAAAAAAACTGAACAAAAATGTGCAAAAGTTGCAATTGAGCTTATTTTTAATTACCTTAATAGTAAAAGAATTTATCATTGTCTCCCCAATTGTGTTGACATTCACATGGAGGATTTCCAGGGAGAGTTCTTCAAGTGCAGAAATAATCTTCACCGTTTGGCCTTGAATTCTTGGAGAAACAGTCTTGAGCAGCACATTTGGACAAGAAAATTTTACTTCCACGTCAGCAATGGCAGATTTTGAATTTGCAACAAGTGCATTAACACTGCCATTCATGGAGGAATTTGGAGAAGAATTGGTTGGTAAATGTAGCCAGGTTTTGTAGGGGCTGTTTGGTTGTGGGGTTCTTGGGCTTAAAGGTAGGTTTATTCTCGGGCTCAATGGAGGCTTTCTTGGACCAAGGAGTGAGGGTCTTAGACTTGAAACCAAACGCGGACTTAATACTTCTGTATAAGCATTTCTTTGTTTCTTGGTTTCAAGGGATTGTAAAACTTGTTGTAACTCAGTGATGTAACCGACAACTCCTTCGATTATCGACGCTTGATCGGCCTGTTCCGAAGTAGAGGCATGTGTTAGAAGTTACAGCTTGACAATATTTATTCGTTTCATATAATATTGAATTCTGCATACCAAACATCCACTTAGAACGACTTTAAGTAGTATAATACGAATTCGAAATTCTTGTCCATTGTACTTTCAAGTCTGTTATTCAGTTTAATTTAAACAAGAAGAAACATACCCTTTTGATGTGAAAAGAAGGCATCAAAGAACGTAAGACGGACAAATGCTCATTCATTTGTTTCCTTCTGTTCCTTCCCACTGTTATGTGAGAGATTTGTTGCCCATCAATATTATTGGCTTCCACCTTTTGTTTCTTGCATTTTGCTGAAGCTTCAAATTCAATTTCAAATTCTTGAACAACACTTGAAGAATAAGTAGATTTTTGAGAAATCAATCGCCCTTTAATCCCCTCTTTATCTTCTGTGATTAAACCAGAAACGACCTCCAAAGCCTCAACATTACTGAAAATGTCCTCGGAATCCTCGAAAAGTTCAGATAAATGCTCACCGTCCATTTGAAAAACTCACCAAGTAGATTTTCCAAAAAAAGTTAACGAAAATGTCGACTGATTTGTAGAGAGCAACTCAAAACAGACACGAAGAAGTTAAGGCATTTAAAGGAGCTTCTCGAAGTTTGCTGCTTGCAGGAGTTCGTTGATAAGATCAAGAAGAAAAAAAAGGAACCTAAAGGAATAAGTACTATAACTAATATTATATCATACAATCCACAAAACAAGAATTATATTATGTGTGAAGTGAATTGGAAGGGACCAAAAATTATAACACCATCAGGCATCAAGATCTATTTCCAGATTCTTTTTTGCATGAAATATTGGAATATGAGAAAAATATCACATGGAAATGTGTGTGTGTGTGTGAGAGAGAAAGATTTATGCAAGAGCCAAACAGAAATATATAAATGAGATTGTAGCTACTGGTATTTATGTTTCTGTACTATGGTATAAAAATTAGGAAAATGATGAAAGAACATGGCCAAATCCACGAAAAAAAACAAGCTGCTGTGTTAGAACCTGATTGGATGATTTTTATTTTTATTTTTCAAATTGGCCAATTGTGTATGGACACGTTTATTCGTTGGATTTGAGCCTCGATTTAACTCTGGGAAATTAAAGCTGTTAGATTCTGAGTAGAAGTGTATTACATCCACTGCTCCACAATTACATCTCATTCCTACTATAACACTATTCAGAAATCAAGTATCTCGTGATTTGAAAGGTGTACTATGTTATACTCCTATTGGTAATCAAATACCTCGGGATTTCAAAGGTGAACAGTAAAATAACTCCTTGTTTGGTTAAGTTAAAACTTAATTTTTAGTAGATTTTAATAAAAATTAATGAAATATATGTATGAAAAATTGATAAAAATTCTGAATATCTAAAACGTGTGGTTGAAAATAAATTTTCAAAAATAGACGTCAAACATTGGCTAAACTTTCGTTTGGATATAAATTTATAAATGATATTTAAATTTAATTAAATTTTAAGTTTTAGAGTATGTCTGGTATAGATTTTCAACAGATTTAAATCGAAAAAATGATCTTTGTTTTCAAATTTTGGACCCCACCTGTGACACAGCAAGTCAACAATGGCTGCTGGTCTTCCTCTTTAACGGTACAAAAATCCATTTTTTGGGTTCAATAATTGCTCGCAGACATGCTCTTGATTTCAATCATACATTCATAATTACTATTAAGCTATGTTTGAGTCCATTTTTGGGAAAATTTGATTTTTTAAAAGAGCCACTATTTACATCCACGATTGTTATATATTCATCACACTCTATATCTATTCCTATTAAAATATTAAAATTTTAAATAATTATTATTTTTATCCACGACTTATTTCAATATTGTTATTATTAAATTGATTTATTTAAACACAATAAATTCATACAAATTTTAAATATTCATCACCTCTAAATATATTATTAATACAATTTCGAAATTATAAAAAATCACTATATTCAGAATTCAAATTGACAAACTCTTATTGCTTGTACCATCTCCAGTGCCATCCTCTTTATGTTCCCAGCAAACAAGTACCTCTTTCTCTCTCTAATCTCCCATATAACAAAGGTTTTATTATTTATACATCATGATATGGATGTCGATGAGTCGAACTGAGTCGAGTTGCGAGCAGAAACTCAAAGCTCAGACTCGACTTGAGTAAAAATTGTTCGGATTTTTTTGACCCAAACCGAGCCGAGTTAGATTTGATTTAAGCTTTAGGCTCGGTCCTTAGTAGGGCTGTAAATGGATCTGATATGGATCGGATCTGTCTATACTCGATCCGATCCGATCCGATCCGATAATTCAACGGATATTTAATTGTTAAATCCATATCCGATTTGCAATGTTATCGGATATCCGATCCGATAATCCGATCCGAAATTAATAGAAATTAGGGAAAAAAATATTGAACTAACGTGAGGCCCACCTATTTTTCCTAACAAGTCCAATAGTGACTTCTACCATCATGATATTCATTTTTAAAGGAGAGACCCTCTTCTAGTTTTCTATTGACATTCGATGTGGGATAAGGTAAAATTGAATTTCAATTCTAAATACAAATATTTTATTTCATTATTTCCATTAACAAATGAAATTATTTATTACATATTAAGTATTAGTTTTTGAAATTGTAAAATTAATTACAATAATAAATTTAATTAAGAAAAATATAGATATTTATTTGCTTTAAATTAATATACGAAAATTAGAAAAACATTGGTTGAAATCAACTTTTTTTAAAAAAAAATTTCCAACTCTTAAACAAGTTTAATAATTATAAATATATTTTAACTTTTTTATGTTTTGAATTTGATTATTTTTTATTCTA